TGATATATATTTAAATAAGCTCAAAACGTGCCCCTTATATGTTTATAGAAGTATGAATAAATGCAAATGACACCAACGGCTGCTGTTGCACTGCTGTGAGTGGGTTGAAGTAAGTAGACGACCTGCGTCTCTATTTCATAAATGTTACATTTAAAAAGTAAAACAACAGGATGTATTTTAAGAGTAACGTTTGGCTCTATTGTGAGTTTATTAAACTGTAAATGAAATGCCCAGAGAGGAGAGATGGGACCAAAGCATGCAGGATAAAAATTTAGCATTTGTAACTATTACAATATTCCAATACAACTTTGCCACAACTTCTGGACTTGTTTTCATGTAACAGTGCAGCTACAACCATTTCAGATCTGCCAATTGCGGAAAGGATGGATCCTACATTCAGACCGACTTGAGGGATAAAAGCCAGAACATCTCACATCTTTAAATGTATTATCATTCCATAATACCACATGTTAGGTTGGCCCAAACCTATTTTGCTGTTAAAGGCCGATGCACAAGGACGAGAGGATAAAAATTAAATGATGGAATTATTACAATATTCCAATATAACGTTGACATAGGACCTATTGGTAGTGAGTTTCATGATTTCATTAGTTTATTGCCTCCAAATAAACCCAATTTGTAAACCAAGACTTGCATGTAAACTGCAATGAAACTGGCAAACTCTATAGTCCGAACCAGGTGTTTAAATGGAGAATAAGAACGAAGAAGAAGTTTAGAGTGAACGAACGTCTGCACTCTAATTAAAAGCTCTTTAACAGATATCCAGTGGCAGATCTCATTTTACTGGCTAGCGTTAGCTACGTGGCTAAATTCTTTAAAGCTATTCCAATACTCTGATACCCATTTTCCCTCTGAAGTACGACTCTTTCAAAGTTGTATTTTGTAACTGTCTTCAAGTAAATGTTTTGCTGAATGAGTAAACTATCCAGCTTCCGGTCGTGTTTCTGCGGGTAGCTTGACGTGAGCTTGTGGCGGGTAGAAACAGCTCTCGCCGCCGGGTTATTTGGTGTAATTATGCTAAAACTACAGTGAACAGACGGGTCACAACGCTCCGGCTAGAAGAAGAATAAAATAATTCACAGTCTTTCTTTCTTCTTTAATGGGCCGTGGCGTGATCCTAAAGGACCGACATATCGGAGAGGTGATCTGAGATCAACGGGAGGCCCTGTCCCCTGGTTGGAGGGGATACGAAGAGGACGATTTCCGTGGAGACCAGTTTATTGGTGCAAAATATCGGTGTAAATGAATTGCTTGTGTTTAAATATTGTTCAAAACACTTTGAATTAAAGTATTTGACTGTGGATAAAAGTTGTAAATAATTACAACCCAATTATTTCCTTATACACTCACTGCTTTCTGATGGCTCATGTTACATTTGCATATTTTCTATTAAAAACACAGCAGCCTATATGTCTAAAGGTGTATTAGACAGTTTCCACTTCATACTGTCCGCTTACACATTGGCAGGTCCTCTATCGCACACACACACTAAAGTCACTCAATGAGGTGGCCTCGTTTTGTTAGCAGCTGGGAGAGAATTATTGTTGGAATGCATTAAGCATTCCAAGTATTGTTCTTCGAATCTTTATTCCGCCTTCTTCTTCTATTTCTTCCGTCGCACCTTTCAACTCCTTCACACTTTCAGCTATTAAAACCGTTCCAATATTAAAATATTCAACTCGTTTCCGGCTTTCCAGCTATGACTTTTCAGCATTCTACCTCTTAAGCGTGAATTTATATAAATCAGTAATCATGAATATTTCTTCTAAAGGTTTTCCATTGGAGATCGCGTTCAAATCCTCTTAAACTTCTTCAACTTTCAGATTTTTCAGCTTTGCTAATCTTTCAGATACAGACACAATTTCAACTTTCAAATGTTGACACAAGTCTCAACTATTTTATGAAAAAAACTGCTTGTTGATATCTATTCTACTTTTTTCATAATCACTGATTATGTTTCACTAGTTCTTCGCTCTGTTGCGTTTCTTAGAGTGTGGGGCAGCGTCAGAATCTGGTTAAAAAAATATGGAACGGTCCTCAGAGCCAAAGTGTACACTTTTGAGGCTTCACTTTTAGCTTAACGTGATGGCATGGTTGTGCTGCTTGTAGTCATGTGGCTATGGAATCCCAGAGTTCTTTAGTTTTGGCCTACGGAGACCAACAGTCACACAACCTCTGCTAAAAGCCCCATAGGCTCCAATACAAATCTGCCAACATATTTCTCAAAAAATCCAGAAGGTACACGTTTTGTAAACTGCGACAGGAGGCGTATTTATTACCGGATAGACATTAAAAAAAACCTCCCTGCGTTCGGAAGAGTCTTGGGTCTCGTAAAAAGGTCGTATTTTTTATATAGCTGTTATAGTTTTGCGCTGGTGGATACTTGTTTGAGGTGTGGATTCTGTGTAACTCGCTGTCCTGTCTCTGCCCTTTGCAGCAGCTCGTTAATGAGCCCAGGTGCGCCGTTGCCGTGGTTACTCCCACACACGCTGCAGTATCGCTGTCTGTGACTCACAGCTGCTCCTAGTACCTCATTAGTGGAGTCACATGACGCAGCTATGCTTTCTGTCAACAGACCATGATGATAAAGACACTTCATTACCGTGGATACCAGCACACACGCTGCATTTTGTCAGTTGGTCAGTTTGTGTCACACAGCTGATCCATAATAATTGATGGAGTCACATGACGCAGATATGCTTCCCCCCCTCATTCTCCCCCTCTCTCTCCTTTCCTCCTCCTCTCTTTTCTGTTCCTCCCCTCTTTCTTCCTCCTTCTCTTTCTTTCTCCTCCACTCTTTCCATTCTTCCCCCTTCCCTTCCTCACTATTCCACCCTTCCTCCTCCTCCTTTCCCCTCTTTCTTTCTCCCCTTTCTCCCTTCCTCCTCTTTTTCCATTCCTCCCCTCTTTCTTTCTCCCCCTCTCTCTCCCTTCCTCCCTCCCTCTCTTCCCCCCCCCTCTATTTCCATTCCTCCCTCTCTTCCCCCTCCCTTCCTCAGCCTCTTTCTTTCTCACCCTCTTTCTCTTCCTTCCTCCTCCCCTCTTTCTTCCTCATCTTTCTTTCTTCTCTTCTCCTTCCATTCTTCCCCCTCTCCTTTTCTCACCATTCCACCCTTCCTCACCCTCTCTTTCCATTCCTCCCCCTCTCTTCCCCTATCTTTCTTTCTCCCTTCCTCCTCCTCTCTTTCATTCTCCTCTTTTCTATTCCTCCCCTTTCTTCCTCCTCCGCTTTCTTTCTCCCCCTCTCTCTACCTTCCTCCTCTCTTTCGTTCTCCTCTTTTTTATTCTTCCCCTCTTTCTTCCTCCTCCGCTTTCTTTCTCCCCCTCTCTTTACCTTCCTCCCTCCCTCATTCCCCCCTCTCCCTTCCTTACCCTCTTTTTTATCCTCCTCTTTTCATTCCTGCCCTCTTTTTTCCTTCCTCCTCCTCTCTTTTGTTCTCCTCTTTCCATTCTTCCCCTCTTTCTTCCTCCTCCTCTTTCTTTCTTCTTCTCTCCTACCATCCCCCCTCTCCTTTTCTCACCATTCCACCCTTCCTCACCCTCTCTTTCTCCGATCCTCCCTCTATCTCCCTTCTTCCTCCTCTCTTTCCATTCCTCCCCCCTCTCACTTCCTCACTTTCTCTCCCTTTCTCTCTCTTCCTCCCTCCCTCTCTTTCACATTTGCTCTCTCTAATGTGCTCTCTCCTTCTACCTTCCCCAATGCCAACATTTTAAAATATATCCCCCATGGAGGGAATTTACTGTAGTGTTTGTGATGAGGTCTATCGATTAATAGTTTGAAGGACAAACATTCTGCCCCCCCCACACCCAACAACTACTAATATCACTAGTACAACTAGTAGTGCTACTTCAACTAATACTGCTACTACCATTACTAATACTACTACTAGTATTTCAACTGGTATTAATACTAAATTACTCATACTACTAATACTAATACTAATAGTAGTTGTACTAAAAATACTATTTCTACCAGTAGCAGTGACCCAGCAACTGATATTACTACTCTTACTACTATAAAACATACTACCAGTATTTACACTGCTATTAATACCACAACTACTACTCATTTTACTACAAATACAACAGTTTAGTACTACAGATGAACTAGTAGTACTACTAACACTATTTTTCTACTGCTATTGATACTAAACTACTACTTATTCTAATGCTAATATTATTACTGCCAAAATTACAATTACTACTAATATTACTACAAAAAATATATTTTTTTAAGACTCAACTCAGCTTTTGTCATTTCTGAATTTTCAGCAATATTTAAATGTATACATTTCTTTGGTATTTTTTATTCCAATATTTTTTAGTCCATTTCAGATTCTTCCATCTGTATTTCCACCAATTTCTTGTAATTTATTTAAGCTTTTCTCAACTGTGTATTTTCAGCAAATCTATTGAAGTTAATTTCAGCTTTTCTGATGTCTGTATTTTCATCAATATTTTGATATTCTTTCTTCTATAGTTGTTTCATTTCTTTATTTTCAGCAAATCTGTGGAAATTCCTTTCCGCTTCTCCCATTTCTGTATTTTCAGCAATTTCAAATTCATTTCAGCTTTTCTAATATCTGTATTTTCAGCAAATGTATTAAAATTCCCTTCAACTTTCTGTATTTTCAGCTATTTTCTGAAGTTCATTTCAGCTTTCAGCATTTTGCATTCCAACGCATTTTCAGCAGGAAATGCATTTTCTAGTATATTATATTATTTAAAGAGATTATAGGTTAGTATGTGTGTGTGTGTCAGAACACCGACTCTGACCGAGCGTGTTCCTGTCTGTGGAAGGAGAGCTAGCTAGCCATTAGCAGCCGGTGGGAGTGCTACATGTGTTTGGCTGAAAGCCAATTTAGTTACAAAGCAGCAGACACAAGGCCCAGAGATGAGATTTGGAATCCGTTGTCGTCCCCTCCTCAATGCGAAGGCCAAAGAGCTGTTGCCATGTATTCAAATAAGAAGACCGCAGGGACCAAAGAATAAGATTTATTTTTTTAATTCAAAGTGAATCTTGACATAGTACACCATCAATTCATAATTTGACACTCACCAATAAGAGTCACCAAGAAGGAACCCGCTTTTTGTGACATGGTAAATAAGGCTTGGTCACACTGAAACTCACTGAGAACTAGAGGGAGGGGGGGTGACCGCCGACTGGTAAGACACACATTATCACATCCAAACAAATAATTTTCCCCAGTCCTCATTTTTGTATATTGCACAGTGCAGTTTGCTACATGTTAAACTAGAGTAGCATTTAAGAATACAAAAATTTAAAATCAACAAATTTAAATCATAAAGCCAGACAGATCTAGGTAAACTTAGAACAGTAACAGTTTTCAATTTAGCAATTGTGTTTACATATAGGGGTCTAAATACAATAATTATCACGCCCATAATTAGATTGTTGTGGTACGAAAGAAACAAAAACAATCAACCTAAAACGTGTCCTAGGAGTCGAGATTTCGTTCTTCCTCAGCCCGGTGATCGGATCAGACGTCCACACCTCTGCTTGTTGAGTTGATAAGTTTTTTGTTTTTTTATCGGACATCTTTGTTTAATACTATAACCACACACAAAAAAATCCCAAAGTATTCAAAGTGTCCCACAGCCTGCTCTGTTGGCTGCTAGACATTTAGACCCGGGGCCACGATGCAACTGGCAAAGAACCCACCCATCGTAATCAGCCCAAAGCAAGCGAGGGGGAAGGAGGGGCAGGACCTCGCACAGGCCGAGCTGAGAGAACACAGCCATCTGGAAACCACTGAAATGCTGCACACCACATGGTTAAACCCCCAAGAACGGCGAGCAGAAACATTTTCCTTGAAATACAGGTGACAGCCATCAGTTTGATTGGAGGCGTTCTGCGAGCACAATACGTCCTCCTCGCCAAGTGTCGTCTAAACATCAGACAAGTACACAACACACACACACCGCTTAAGCAACAACACAAAACCATTATAATGTAAAACATCAGAGTACAACAGTGAAAACAATAAATAGCTCCAGAAACCTTTCTTGATTTGGTCGTTTTACAAGATACTTTTTCTGCTTTGTTTTTGACGATGACAAATTGTTCATCAATTACATATTGCTTTGTTTGTTGTCATTTCACAGAACCAAAGAGCCTTGGATCTCATTGATGAACAGGAGCAGAGGAGAACTTTGGAGCTAAACCTTTGAGTGGGCATGAAGCCTTCAGAAACACGACGATATCTACCTGTGGTTATAGCTGCATACATGAGACCACAGTGGCCGAGACAGCAGCTGTGTAGCAATCGCAAAAGCAACAAGCAACTCATTTGCAAACACACACATTCACTGTGTGAGAATAAAGCTTTACATTTGTGTATATTGAAGCCAGATGGGTTTTCCTTGTTTAAAAAAAAAGAAGTTTATCCCCAGATCTATGCAGGTCTCCGTGAACACACGATATCTTCCCTGATTTGTATCTTTAGTTTAAGTTTAAAAACTGGAAAATAACAACTTTGGGGTTTTGGTGACGTGAAAAACAGGAGCTGATCCCCTCTTGAGGAACTAGTTTCCCAAGAGTGGAAATCTTCTGCTGGCCACTTGTCTGAAGAAAGGCACTAGTTGTGCAGTACGAAGAGCTGCAAATTGGGCGATAACACGAGACACCAGTTACAGAATGGAGAAGCAGATGCGAAATGCACACACACACACACAAATACACACATGCACCAAAAGAGCAACAGAATGAAAAAAACTCAAGTTCCATTACAGCAGTTTACACTTCAAAAAAACAGCCAAAATACAGAGGCACTAGCATATAGGAATAGCATGTAATATACTATAAGAAAGAAAAAACACTTCTACAATATAAAAGAATAACAGGCAGGCTAGGATGAGTTTTCTCCTCTAAATTCACAGCTACCAAGTGGCAGATAATCAGTACATAGCAGCTTATTATCTATACATTCCAAATACAATTTGCCAACAAAAAAGAAAGCTCAGAAAAATAAAACCTCAACCTCTAAATTTTTTCTTCTTTTTTTAAATAAATCTCACAATACTGCAACAGTACGCTGGAGGTGAAAGCAGACATAGCCTCATCCGTCAGAAATGATCAATGAACTGTCTTTGGTGCCGATTTGAGTAAAGGCAAAACAAATACCAGCTGATGGTAAAGACACAGCAGAACGACTAAACCCCACTGGAAATCTCACACACACACACACACACACACACACACACACACACACACACACACACACACAGGGAATGTATCAAAAGTGACTTCAATACATGGACAAGAAGGTTTGTTTCCACACCGAAGCTCAACAGTTTCTGATAACACCTCAAATGATACTGTAGGTTATCTCAAACACTGAAAAGCATTTAAAAAGAAAACACACACACACACACAACAAGAAACAATTGCCTTATGCGCCGCTCACCAAAACCTAAAAAACATCGACGCAAGTCTAGCCTAAATGCCAAGACATATTTTGAAATACACAGCAACCCAGAGGCCATCTAGATTGTATTGCAGTTACAGTAAACAGTGACAATACTGTTATGAATTTAAGTACTATAGTGAATAGAAATTGATTACTAAAATATCAGATCACTCTTTATGTACATGAAAAGCTCATTCAGTCAAAGCCCTAGATATACACCCTCTAGCTGAATCCGTCCTCTGAGTTAGAAAGAAAACTGAAGTCTACGTTAAAACAAAGCCGCAAGCGTTACTCCTCCAAAGAACCCGTCGCCTCCACAGTCTGAGGGTTAAGTGCTGCAAGCCTATCTTTTCTCTTTTTTGTTTAAAATGTACAATCTATTATGTCCTGACTCAACGTCTGGCTGATTTTAAATTTTTAAGGCACTAGGGCGACGGCAGCGTTCCATCCTGATTAATACACACCGGGATGGCTTAACACACAGATCAGACCGGCTAGCACAAATGCTACAAGGCAACATAGATAAAAAGGGTGAGAGGGGGAGGTTTGGTTCGCTGACTGCAACGGCAAACAATCTCTCCGCCCTCTGAATGGATCCCGCCCTCTGAAGGACACCCTCCACATAAAACGTCTTCTTTGCCATGAGGTCCTCCGCCCTCTCGTGCGGCTTTGGCGTTTCAAATTTAAATTGCTACTTTCTCCTTGCATGATTTTTTTCCCTCCAGCTTCTCTGGCAATCCCAATTGATCCGTCCTCAAAAACGCCACCATTAAATCACATTCGTTTTCACTTTCTCAACCCCCCTGACACAATCTCTCGTTATTTCCAGGTTGGGGGGAAGGAGGTTTCACTCCCCCTCGTGTCCGTCACCTTAAGTGTCTGCTGCCGGCTCTGCCCGCCCAGGTCGCAGCACCAGTCCATTTGCCAGCTCCTCAGATGTAGGAGAACTGCGGGTGGTGGCTGAGCTTGGTGGGGCTCAGGGGGAAGCTGGTGTAAGCCACCGGAGAGGCCATGTACGGGTGCTGGAAGGGGGGTTGGTGGCCATAGCCAGATTGGTGGTGCGGGTGGATGGACGGGGATGGGAGGAGCCTGTGCGGGGGTGGAGCGGGGTGGTGGTGGGCGCTGATGCCCAGGGTGACCTGGTGCACTATAGCGCCTCCCTGGGGATGGGAGAGGCCGTAGCTGTGCTGGAGGACAGCTGGGGGAGGCGGGCGGGAGGGCAGGATGGGATGTGGGTGGTGAGCTGTGAGTGTGGCGCCGGGGGGGTACTGCAGCAGGGCGTGCTGCGGGGCCGAGGTGTGCGTGGGACTGCTGTGCGGCAGGTGGGTGAAGGTGTGCGTGTGGACTGTGGGGGGGATGTAAGCGTGAGGACGCAGAGACCCATATTTGCCGTTCCACTCTTTGGCGGCGTGGTTAGAACCGTACAGCTGCACCTGAGTGAGAGAGAGAGAGACAAAGGGGAAGAGAAAGAACGACAAATCGAGAGAAAGAGAGCTCCGTGACACTCTGACCTACGCAGACACTTTTTTTCCAGTTTTTTTGCCGGGCGTCAGATGAGAGGTTTGATGGCCTCGCTGCCGTATGGCCGTTGAGCGTGAAGCCTTAGCCGGGACCAAATAACCCCTCTTAAGCTCGCTGCGTTACGCTCAAGTGTAAAAACAACACATGGAGGATTTATAGAGTCTGATTCCTGTACTGAGCTCGCCCAGAGCGACGCCCCCCTGCTAGCCGACTACTGCATAGAGCGCATCTAGGAGCACTTCCTGCCTAATCCCTCATGGGTTAGAAAAAAGAACTGGACCAACCTGTCCAAAGCCCATGGGGAGGGGCTGCTGTTGCTGCTGCCGGGACAGGAGGGGGAAGGAAGAGGGGTTGCTCTGTTGTCCTACGAGGCTGCAGTGCCCGTTGGACCGGGACCAGGACTCTGGGAGTGGGACAGAGTGAGAAGACAGTCAAGGAGGTCTGACACAGACCACGTTCATGAAGAACAGATGGCGGATTGCCTCCACATCGACTGCAAACAGCGTAAAAGACCAAAGTGACGTCAAACAACAAGTGTGCATCCCAGAGAAAATGGATTCAGATACTGTTGTTGGTGTGTGGAGGGAAGAATTTAATAATTCTCTTCCATCTGACATCGACCACACATCTAAGCGCCACTGATGGAGAACAATGGGTTTTTTAAGGGACTTTTCATGGTAAGAGCAGAGAGTTTATACAATATTCGAGTTGGGTTCTACCTACGCAATTGAGGTTGATGCAACCAAAGATGAAACCCGAGAAACACAATGGTCCACCCGTTTCCCTCCAGAAGAGGTTTGTAATAGAAACGCAGGGCAGTGACGCTAACCAACACAAGACAAGGGGAGAAAGAGTCAGCAGTGTGGAGGAATGACGCCATCGCATGGCCAATCTCTGATGCTATTAAAGAATCAAACATGTCTATTACTTATGAAGAAGATGGGAATATTCCTTTGAAACACAGCTTCATGAATTGGACAAAAGAATTTTCGGGGAAAAGGAAAGAAACAGATTGTTGGCACTCAGAAAAACAGCCAAGTTGATCCTTGGACTGATCTGTATCTGTTCACTGTATTCATGAAAAGTTATCTAAAGAAAATAATGTGCTGGGGCCAAAAAAAGGTGACGCCAATATCAGATTAGAGCTTTTGGGTCAACGTTTACTGTATGGCAAGAACCAGCAGAGGAAGCGTAGGCTCTGACTCAACACCACATCGGATGCATCCACAATCCCTCCAAAAGTCCTCTCTTAAAAAAAGAGGGGATGCAGGAAGTACTGCAGCTGCACGGGTTATAAAGTATGGAGGGATTTATTTTAGTTATTTAAGCTGATGGTAAATGTTTGGTGTGATAAACCGAAACACAGACACTGTTAAAAACATGAGTATAATGAGCAAAATACAAAAGCTCTTTAAACAATTATTCCACTGAAACTTTCTTTGAAAAAAGCTACTAATTTGATGTAGGGGGGGCCTAGAAAAAATGACTTATGCAATATTAGCGTTGCCTGCTACGGATGCATCTTCGGGTTTGTTGGAACAACATGGCCCGTTCCCTGTTGGTTTCCCCTTGATCACCTGTTACAGCCTCTATGAGCCACTAGGGGGCAGTAAGCTCCTACTGCTTCCATGTGACCTGCAGAAGCACACAGTCCAAAAGTGACAGAGGCGCATGACAACGTGGCAGGATGGGAAAACATTGATAAAGGATAAACATTTCTGGGTGTTTAATAATCACAATATTAATTGCCCTTAACCTGCAATGAAACCAACAACACACAACAACCACTGAGTCACATGGTACAGAAACATACAAACGATTCTTTTGTTCCACACACCTATCCCCTGGAAACGCTCTGCTGTCCTGTGACCGTTGTTGTTCTGCATTCTCATCGGGGGCACCACCATGGTCCTAACGCCTGGGGGGCTGCGGCCCCGTGCTGCGTGGCAGGGCGGCGGCGCCACCGTGGCGGCTAGTGTCGGGCGGTTGTCGTCAAGGTACCGGTAGGGTCTGTCACCACGCGGCGTTGTTGGCGCAGGAGAGCCTTCCACGGTGTCGCAGCCGCTCTCGTGGCCGTCGTCCTCAGACATGCTGAACGCAGAAGAGGAAATGACATGGGACAACCTCGGGCTTAGTGTACTAGTTTAATTTGCATTTCTTCCTCAGGTAAACACTGCCACGGGCAACTTACCTGTTGGGTCTCTTGCATGGCGAGAGGGAGGGGCTGGACTGGAGCGAGTTGGAGGCAAAGGAGCCGGTGCTGAGGCTGCTGTCGGGGCTACTGAGGGAACACACTCTCTCCATAGACACACTAGTGTGTCTGCACGCCTCGCACACACACTCCTCTTTACACCTACGGGAGATCAAAAGTCACGTCAGCATTGTTTGCGGCTCACGATAGTAGAATGAAACAAGACAACGTAATAATTATGCTCCAATGTCATGTGATCTGCCTGTTACAGAGGCTCAGTTGGGTACTGAGAAAGATCTCGATCGGGGCAGTTAACTCACCCGCCAAGACGGCACCTCGGGAGGTGTTCGTCCTCTTCGTCGGTCAGTTCGCTGCGGATGCTGATCACGCTGGCAGCGGGGCTGGGCGTGTCGCCCATCAGGACCGCTACCTCGCGCTGCTGCCCGCCGGACGGGTCCGGCTGGCTGTTTGCCTTTGGCGCCGCCTCTTTGAAGCAGGTCGCTTTCTGCTGCACGTGGTTTTCCTCCGTGTCCCGGTTTGGAACTCCCGGATGCCCGGTTCCACCCGCGGGGTCCTCCCTCCGAGGCTGTTCCCTACGTGCCACCGCCTGTCCGACCGCGTTGGCCATCTTGGCCGGAGCGTGGATGGTGCTGTGGGTGGACAGGTTCCTTTCAACGATAGATACATAATTACATAATCGATGCAATGAGAAACTGGTTTAACTTCACTCCAGAAGCAGAAACTCACCTGTTGTAACCGTGTCTGTTCCTTTTATTGGCCGGCTGTGGCCAAACAACATGAGCTATGCCGATGTTGATCGGCTGATGGGCAGAGAGGGCTGGCATAGGATTCGTCAGTAGGGGCTGTTGCATGACTGAGGTGTAGTGGCTGCTGGAGAGGGACGGTGCGCACACAATTTCTATTAATATATCTCAAAGGAGAATAGAGAAACATGTGATAGGAATCGCCATTCTCTGATAGAAGTAAAACAATTCAAATGCAGATTTCCCCCCAAAATATGACAACCACAGCTTTATGTGCAACCATTTGCATATCAATACAAATGCGGTGTTGAGATGTTTGGGGTTTACACTACGTTAAAGAAATCATGTTACAAAAAGAGGCAACTGATAGGACAAAAAACAAACCGGACTGAAAACTGAGGTTCCAGATGACTCACCCCCAGTCACTGATTCTTTGTGGGCCGGCTGTGGCATCGTTGGTTAGGGAGGATGGGGGTTGTGGAGGGGGGTGAGACGGAGGATGACCCACTTGAGCCATCTGTTGCCAGGCTGCTGGGACGAGGAGCTGCTGCCCCCGGCTTGACCAGGCCTGCTACAGGGGGCATAATGGGAAAATATAATCAGCTGTGATCTAAATCAACCTACACCCCCACGAGTCTGATATACAGGGGGGGTCAGGGGTCACCTAGATAACGCACGATACACCCGGTGAGGGCTGTTTGAAGGAATTTGGGGGCCCCAAGAAAAATGGACATGGAGGCCCCCCCAAGCCGCCGCTGCGCGCACGCAAAACCTACAGCACCTACAGCAACCACAGCACAGCCATAAAGTTTAAGTTCACCCACACTTTATATAAATAAAAAAGGGTTTACAGTGCATAAACATAATGTGCATGAAAAATAACAATTTAACATTTGCACACCACCATAAAATCAAATATACATTAAAAAAGTGCACAATAACTAAATCCAACATACTTAAAAACACACTCACACTCACATTAACATTTTTCAGTTCTCACAAACATGTGCAACTTCCTTTTTTTGCTTCCTGAAGCGTAACTCCGCTTCATGATGCCGGGCTAGGGTTGCCAACTGTCCCGTGTTACGCGGGACATCCCGAATTATGGGCATTTTTGATTTGTCCCGATCGTGACAGCTCCAGTTCCGTTTTCCAATCACAGCCTCAAGTCAATGACGCGCAAAAAACTCCAGGTTGTTGTGACGCATCCAACCAGTGTGCGCGGGTGCCGCCGACCGCTAGCACCCCCCCAGTCAGCCCGGCAGTGAGGGGCCCCTTGAAGGGGGATCCCGATAACGGTGTCATTGCACTTTACTGCATTGACTATCAAAGGGGCGCTCACAGTTTGTCGTTGCATTTGACTCTTAACCAGTCGTTGTCTTGGGGCCCCTGGGCAGCTCGGGGCCCCAAGCAATTGCTTGGTTTGCCTGTCCTGTTGCGACGGGCCTGCACCCGGTTCAGGCTCGGGTCTGCGTCTCACCTGAGCAATGACTCCGGGTCTCACTGGCAAGGGCTGCATGGGAGGAGCCTGAGTTACCATGGGGACAGAATACGCTGCTGGTTGGTTAAGGTTACCTTTTTTAAAAAGGGAGACAAAAACATGTCATTCTTGCAGCTCAAAAAATAAATTATATTGAGTAATGTCTTCAAAATCTTCATGATGAAAAACATTTAAAATATATATCTGTAAATATCAGTAAAATACAATAAATTCAAATAATTGTTCATCTATCATCGGCCGGCAGTGTGCATACCTTGCATGGGGGGAGGACAAAGAAGAAGGCCAGATGGGAAGGGGTCAGTGCACCCGAACTGACCGTTCCCAGCTGCTAAAGCAATCTCAGGATGCATCACAGAGGGACCCGACTGGTTTATAGCCTGCATTAGAAAAGAGCAGAGAAGACAATGGAGTGAAAGACACAGGGACCGAGATCCAGACAGTGAAGAAAGTGTAGGTTGAAAAGAATAGTCAGATTTATCAAAAATGAAGAGAGAAGGGGCAAAAACAAGTGTGGACACAGAAAGCAGATTAGTGAAAACTCTAATGTACTATGGCCTGACAAAATTGCCATAGAACAGACACGTCATTGAGTGTCTTACCGGAGTATGGACTGGTATGCTGCCGTAGCCTAGAGGTAGGCCAGAGGAGGGTGCAGGAGCCATGGGTGGCCTTGAGAAGTGAATGGTGTTCTCATGACTGTTCTCATGACTGTGGCACATATCCATGATGCGGAATGCAGACTGCACGCTTGGGAGAACGAGAGGAGTTCAAACAAGGCCGGACAAACACAAGCGAGCAATCCAGAACCTTTGTGTCGGCGCGGCCTTACTGGTGACTGTGTGGGTAGTCCAGCAGGTGGGTCATCGTGAGGAAGGGGTGGTTGAGGACACTGGTGGGAACGGTCCGGTCCTCGGCGTCGATCAGCAGCATGCTGCTCAGTAGGGACACAAACTCCCTCCTGTCTGCCTTTTCCGCCTGCATGGCGCTGCCATCAGGGCTCAACACCACGTTCACCTGGCAGGTGCACGCAAAGAGAGGGATGAGAAACAGAGCCGGGCAACAGATAGTTCAGGAACCCGGGAGCTCTCAGACCGGCCCGCCGTCGTGAACGGTACAATGGTCATTACTTGTGAAGCGCCTTTTCCACTGCATGTAATCATTCCCCCATTCACACGGTTTAGCTGTCTAAACTGTGAATGTAAGATTCATGGCCAACAATTGAATCTTGATAATTTCTAAATGAATGATAGGAAAAAAGCCATTTGGGTGCGGTTAGACTCACGTGTGCGATGTCGTCCAGGCAGCTGAAGATGTACTTTCTGGCCTCTTTGGATTTCAGGCCTGTCTCCTTCTCGTGCTCTTCTGTTGTCTGGGGGAGGAAGGACAACATTGATTTGGTACTGAAGTGCCGTATTTAAAGAGAAACAAACAGATTTGTCTTTGTTTATGATAAGGAAAGCTCAAAGTATTACGTAAATATACCTGTTAGGCAAATGGGTTCTAACCGGATAAACATGAGGGCAGTACTTTTCGAAATTAGATATAGAATGTGCGCCGTGCCAAATACGTCTCATCCTCACCAGCTAACCGGTGTGTGTGTGTGTGTGTGTGTGCGCATTTACTTTTAGTCTCCAGGAGGCATAGGGAGAGTTGGACTCTTTGCAGAAGAAGCGAGAGGTCTTGGTTCCCTTGTTGAGCAGCTGCTCGGCCGGCACGCCGTGAGTCTGGGAGATGTACCGGATCTGAGTCGAGAGAGGGGACAGGAACACAGAGGAAGAGGAAGATGTAAAGCGAGAGCGCGGAAGACACTGCGTCTCCAAAGCGTGAGCGCCACCCTCTGCATCCAATAGGACGCGTTAACGGCCCTGCAATTTAACCTTCACGGCGGTGTCAAGCTGACATGGATGGACGCTCTGTGTCCGCTGGTGGGCTTGCCTGTGCTCACCTGTGTGTGCGCGCAAGTGACTGCTTGCCCCACACGCACACAGGTGAGTCCATCGGGGCGGAGCTGCAGTGTGCAGCAAAAAACTTCCAGACTTTAATAACGGGGAAATTCTGACTTAAATAAATGTAAATAGATGGCGAGCTAGCTAAACGGTAGGCTACCGTTAGCTGGTGCCAGGACTCAGTCATCAAAGCGGTGGAAAAAATCATTTTAATTTGCTCATACACCCAAAAGGAAGCACTAAAATTTGCGTATGGTTTCGGTACGGTAGTGCTGGTTACCAATACGGCACCGGTTCTCGGTACGCAACCCTAGTTTACTCTCAAAGCCATTCATTCAGAGGATACTGGATTTGGGTTTTAACCGTTCGTCTTGGGCTTGTGGCTCAGCTTTGTTTTTCTTATCTGCAGATATTTTATCATTTGTGCAAATCCTGCACATCACTACTAATGCATTTCAAAACACTATACCTACAACTATGACAAAGTATGATGCCCATGAATCATACGGAATTCGTGGGAGGGGGGTTTCAGACCTTAGACCTCAAATGGAAACCTCCCAGTTCTGTAGCGAACAGGGCGGCTTGCTTCACTGACTAGAAGAATGTCTTTCTGATTTGTTCTTAGTCTGTTACTTTGTTTTTTGCAGTTACAGAAAGATTTACTAAAAAAAAAGGAGCAACATTTACACATAGAATGAGATGTTCACTCTGGGCTGCCCTGCTCTCAATTACCCTCCAAATGTGTAAAAAGGGAAATCTGATCAAAACGATCAAAAGCATTTCAGCTCATTCAGAAGTACGGTTGCAAGGGGGCGGAAAGTTTCCGGTAAATTTCTAGAAAGTTTCCACAGGAATTTTTTTTTTTTTTTTTTGCAAAAGCATATATCTTAAATGTAGTTGAGAACAAGACTATGCACTCCTAGCTTAGCTGGACACTGGATGAAGCTGGTTGGGAACATTGTCTGCCAGAAACAAACGTAAACATAAAATGTTGTTTTTGAATGTGGTAGATTCAAGCCATGTTCATTTTAATACTAAGTTTATTTGTATACAGTAGACTAACTTTTACAGCAGTGAGAGTAGGATGTATGTATGCCCACACAAAAGTACACAACCACCTCGATTATTTGCGCCTTTTGGGGTCCATCTAAAAGCGCGAGTTGGGCAACTTAACACACACTACAGCAGGGCTATTGAGGCCACACTACTGCATTTGAGCACAAGGACTACATCAACTGAGGTAAGTTTTGATGACATTACTGGGGTAAATATATTATTCATAAGACAAACAAGCTGCTAGTCATTAACAAACTGACAGCTCATCGTTGAAGAAAAGCTCAACGTATCAATTTTAAGCTGACATGAGTGGGAGATGGTCATGGCTACTGTACAGTGGAGGTACTGGCTGTGTTCAAAAATTCTTAACAGTAAGATAGCGGTCTTACTACCTTGATGCCTCGTCAAGACAGGTGTCTAACTCGAGATATTTTTACGGGTGAAGGCCTCTCAAAAAAACGTTTTCACACAGCCTTTTAAGATAGTTGCACAGATGATAGATAACGTGTGCCGTTGGTGCGTTGAATGTTAGGCTATCAGAACGTAGGCTAACGTGCTAATGTTAGAAAGTTGGCTGACTAACGCCTCGCAAATCACATCAACCATTATTGCTGCTCCAATAATGGTGTTATCGGATAGAACCGTGTCTATTTCTCGGTAAAACAAAATGTCCAAAAAGTCATTTTTAACGTTGTATTAGAAATGTTTGCATGCATGTCTTGCTTATGACAAGGTAAATAAAGTTAAATTACCCCAAAATTTCCAGTTTATTCCTGTTAATTTACATGGAAAGTTTCCAAATTAAAATTTTTTTGATAATAAAAGTACATCGCACTTTTTCCAAAAAAGAAAAAAAGGACACTCCAGAATGACTGTTGGGGTACGTTTTTTTTGTGGGCGCCTGAGCGCATGTCTACGGCCCAGAACAAACACACCAAACGGCCGGAACCTGCTGATGGTGCACTGAACACTCGCCACAGTGTGCGTGCGCACGTCTACCATCAAGCTTATGCTTATAAATACATTTTGCTGAGTCGTGTGGAACTGCAGTGAGCCTTGGCATGGCACAGCATACTTTTTGGGGGGCTCAATATGCACACACGAGAGTGTGTGTGTGTATGTGTGTGTGTGTGTGTGTGTGTTCTGGCATGGACCAGCGGTTTAACAGAGCCCTCTATGACCCATTATCTTTGACTCAAGGCTTTCTAAACTGCTCAAGGCACAATTTAACCCCAAAAGACAAAACATGCCATTAGTTTATTAACTCGTATTAATGGACCAAAAGGTTTGGTATCGGCTCTACTATCGAGGTACAGCCAACTAGGTTTGCCTTGGGGAACTATGTAGATCGCTGCCTGTACTCAAAACATGGGGTAATGCTGTGCTGGTGTGTGAATGTAGCGCAAGCCTCTTCCCATGCTCCCTCTCCCGCTTTAAAAGTCCCAGTTGTGTTGCTACGACCTCGCAACCCTCTGGGAAGATTGTCGCGCCTTGCCAAGAACAATTTCTTGATTTGCTCGGCTTAGATTAGTGTTAGGTGAATTTCATGCTGGATTTGTTGGACTTCACTCACACAGCGAGGGAGCAGCAAATACAGGTTTAACTACATAATGAATTTACTTTTGAGTTTTGGCTAGCGGAAAAGCAGAGACCGAAGATTCCTAGACATTAAAATATTTATTCTGTAAACTCGTTCTCCATGGGTGGTAGTGGTGCATATATCTTTATCCCTTCTTCGCCTCCCTATGTGAGCGACCGAAATGGTTCTTGTGTGGGAAGAATGTTACCTGGTCGTACTCAAGCGCTCCGGGGTAGAGGGGCCAGCCCAAGAAGAGCTCTGCTATCACACAGCCCAGCGACCACATGTCTATGGCCTCACTGAATGGCAGGCCCAAAATGATCTCCGGAGCCCTGCAGAGACAAAACAGAGGCCTGATAGGTTATTGAGGGAGTGGTTCAGGTACATGAGCAGATAACGTTACCTTTAAAAAAAAAGGTGGTTTTCATTTGGAATATTTTATTCATCCAAAATAATTAAATTAACGTGACTCTGTACTTGCTACTAGAGACTATTTTAATCTTTGATTACATTTCATCTAAAAAAAGAGTTCAGTCTACTTTAAAATCAATACAAAGCAAAGCACACAGCGTAAAACAACAGGTTTCAGGATGTTACAAATTGAAAATTACACGCACGCGCCACAAACAAAACAGCTAAATCCCTCCCAACGAGCGGACTTTGCCACTTACGTAATCCTAATGGGACCAGTAATCTAGCAGCAGGCGGCGTATGAAAAACAATGGGCCATTAGGCTGGACAGAGCTGCCGAGCAACAGCGCTCTGAATAGCAACCACTGCTGTGACGGCCGCAAGGAGAGGCGAGGAGGTTGTTGCCAAGCAACCGCTAGACGCAAGAGCATGGTGTAACTGTATTACAGGGTGATAACTGAGGCCATCCCTCAATGTTCTATGTGTGTCTTTCTGTTTGCAGATGTCGTGCTTGTTGGCCTGCAACGGGGACGCTCTGCCACTTCCTGAGGCAGAAGCCCACTTATGCAACTGTGTCGCAAAGCAGGGAGTGACAAGGTGACTGGTGCTCCCAGGTCGAAGTGACTTGTCATACTACACAGCGGTGGATTATGGGAGACAGACGTTGGGATTGCAGTAGAAACATTGTTTGGACAAAGGAGACTCATGCGAGGACAAAAGAAGACTTCAAATTCTTTCAAACAAACTATACGTGATAAATAATTTACTGATCTAATGGTCATCGGAATTCACACTTTTTAAAGAGCAAATATTAATAATAGAAAGCTGACAAACACTAAAAAGACAATTGGAGGCCAAATAAGTCTCTTTCGTCAAATTGACTTGAGAGGAAACAGATTCTGGTAACTGGTGTTGCCTAACATTTGATGGACCAGATGAAACCCAATAGGACAAGACAACAGAAGGACTTACTTTTAACAACTTGACCCACCGATACATGTCATAAACTTATTTGTCCTCTTTTTGTAGCTATGAAAAAATAAGTATTTAGACTTTTAGACCTTTAAACTCAAGGGGGTTGTCAAACCAAACATTCAGACTGCAGACTCAATAGCAACATGCCCCTACGGCAGAGGGCCCAGAGAGCGGTACAAACTGAAAGCAGTGATAGCCTGAGGGACGCTAGCATAGCATCCAGCACGAGCAGAAGGTCTATACGTACAATGAGGTAAAAAATTGTTAAGGAAACGAAGAACAACAACCGAAAACAAACAATACCGCATGCGAGGAAGAGGATGTTGCAGCATGAATACATACGAACAGCCACTGCTTGTGTATTATTCAAAGAACTACATATGTGCAACCAGACAATACGCATGGCTTCCATATTGCTTATCAGCATGAGCAGTGATCCACCATTTCACTTCCCCAAAACAGTAAAAACAAACAAGAAAAAAAGTTCAACTGTTTAAAACCACTCTTTTAATGGCCCTTTTTCTTCTTGTTTTTAAACATTGAAGTGAAACTGACATTCAGAATGACTCCTCACTAAAATGCGTGGCGATGAGGCCGAAGGCAACATGTGGGGACCGACTAAGTCAAACTATCGTCCTCCTCCTAACTTAGAAAATCGATGGATGAACAGCAATGAAGCAGGTCCCACCTGGACAGAACGGCAGCCAAATAGCAGACCTTCTCTCCACCTGATCTGCTCAGCTGAATTATTGCTCCGTTTTCATTGTGGGAGTTTTTTTTCATTACGTCACCGGACCCCGAAGGAGAGCAGTCACCTCAGCGGGGCTAGCTGCGTCATGGCGCCATGGCAACAACACATCAGAGTGTGACAGGCATCAGGGGGAGGAGGGGGGGGGGTTCTGGCATGAGACTTCGAACTGTAGTGATCCACTCGCAGAAATCCAACCATGTTCAAGCTGGTGACCCGGCGAGGTCGCACCCAGTTCGCTGGAGGTGAATGAAATAATAAAAAGCACCCAGGATGCGCTACTGCGGGAAGCCTAGATTCTATTTACATTGCGGTGGACTGACCAGGTCCATTTAGGAGCAATTAAAATATAGATTAAGAAAATAAGTGTCATTAGAAAGGAAACATCTGTATGCATTGCGCAATGAATGTGTAAATGTAAAATACACAAATGACGACGGCACGTAACCTGACAGACTTTATTAAAACTGATCAAGGCAATAAATGAAAGCAAAGGCCGCTGTATTTACACGACTCCATTACTCGTTGTTACAGATTCCATTTGATTGAAACAGAATTCATTGAGTCATCCAAATGAGAAATAATCACAACTATTATTATTCCTAATCAAGACAACGCTTGTTACATGCTAATAAAAACCGATCTGCTCAATTATCATTTCAAGCGAGTCATTTACATGGCGCACATGCTGGTAACCAGAAATATTAAAAACCCAGGAATGCCTGGCGCCGTACCGCCCATTAAACAAACACTTGAGTTATTGTGCCTTTAATGCGAGTGATACAATAACCTCAATTTTATGGCCCTGGAGGGTTTTCTTTGCATCCTTAAAAAAAAAAAGAAATTCATATTAATACCAACTCTACACTCTGTGGCAGGGGAAAAACCCAACGCTGTTGACCAAAACAAAACAAACCGGCGTCCACCCTCTGCGATGAGGCCAGCATTTCTTTACAGCTGTGGGCACGTGAGCACGCAAACCCTTGCATCTAGTGCTGTAGTGGTAAAATTAGAGGTGGGTAAACTCTGAATATTCAGACCTCGACGCGATGCGAAGCAACGCAACACACAGCGTCGCGACTCTGTAAGGCTGTCCTGGCTATATTGCATTATGTTATCAGTAAAAGTCATATACAATCAATGACAATGAATAAATGTGTTAGTAGTTTGTAGTTTATTAAATTTAAGAAAACAGTAAAGAAAAGTATGTCAACACAACACAACAACACAATTGCAGATTAAGAACTATCTACATATGGAGTCTCCTTTTCACAGGTCCTGCCTTGCACAGAGGAGCCATGAACCCCAGAACACGCGTTCTTCTGTGCTTCTCTCTCTATTCGACCTGGTGTTTCTCCTCTCCCTGTGCTCTCTGCATCATTGCCTGTCCTATCACTGCCTGAAAAAATATGTTAAATTTAAGAGTTAACCTGTTAAGCAGCCTGTCAATTACACTGACAACATGAGTTAAAGGAACACTCATGTACTACCTTATGTCATCATAAATAGCCTATACAGCAGGCGGTTTTTCACATTGAGAACTGACTTGTTTTCTAATCTACGCGTCACCAGGCGTTTTTCTTGTCCTTTTAGAGCGCGCGACTACTACCCCCCCGTCGGTCGTTCCGCCCGCAACGACTACTACCCCACCCCCTCCCCCCCACCCGCCGGACCTTCTCGACCGGTCCGCGAAATATTGTCTGACATGAAACCGGTCCGTGAGGTAAGAAAGGTTGGGGACCACTGGGCTGATCCACAACGTGTGTTTACACACCTCCTGGATCCTGATTGGTGTCGCTGCTGCAGCCGCAAGGCACTGATTGGATGCTCACAGACCGTAATACAGCGCAGATGAACATGATTCAGACTACGCCGTTTATATGTTCAACAATAGGAAACGTAGTCTTAGCTGTTTTAAAATTACACCAAGTTTATTTCGGATTATTCCAACGGAAGAATACAAGGCGCAGGGAACTTTGAGGTGCGTAAACGCCACTTAGAGGTGCGTAAGCGCTATTTATAGGTGCGTAAACGCTATTTCCAAAATTCTAGAGGTGCGTAAACGGCGTTTACGTGCGTTTACCCTCCACTACAGCCCTGCTTGCATCCACTCGCACTTAACCGGGTCAACAGCTATACTATGGCTTCACTCTCCTCATCTCGAAGGGATGGGGGAGCACTATGTGACTCTCTTTTGCCAAAAAATAGGCCCCCAGGGGTTGACGCTGGGATTCTGGTGCTCCTCCAATTTCAGTTTGGTCTTAACTCGCTCGTCTGTGTCTTGATTTATACACCGCTAGTTCACGTTACAGTTGGAATCACTGAGAAGATGGTGTCCTCCTCACAGGGCTATAAAATCCACGCTGGAAGTGTTCTGATGGGTTTGTGGAGTGCCTCAGCTGCAGAAACACAACAGCGGGCCTGCTTGCTGGAACTTGCTGGCAGTAGCGGGGTGAATGAAATTGCTCATCTTGTGTAGTAAGTAGAAGTAGTAAAGTAGGTAGTACTTAGTGCAGGTTTGCGGCTTGTTAACTAAATTAATTTCAGCTTGCTTGCCTGCCAGATGCGCTAATCGCTTCATGACGCTGTTCCCTACCATAAACGTCTCAGTTCAGTTATGCAAGAATAGAAGAATCAGGGCGTGACTCCTTGAAGCGCTGATCAAATGCACGTGCACGCACAAATGTCAGCAGTCCAAAAAAAGTGAGGACGTGAAGGAAAGAGTGAGGCAGCAGGCCAAACAGAAAATCGAGATGAGAAAAAGTCATATGCAGAGAAGACCATACCTGTAGTATCTGGACTGCAGGTAAGTGGAGCAGACGGCCTTGGAGACGTGGCTGGCTGAGCCGAAGTCGATCACCTTGACTATGTAGGGCTGCCTGGAGGGGTCCACCAGCATGATGTTTTCTGGCTTCAGGTCGGCGTGGATCAAACCCAGAGACTTAAGCTTCTTTAAAGCTGTCGCCACCTGGAAAGAGTTACGTGAATGAAAAACACGCTCTGGGTCGCTCCAACACTTGTAGACCAAATGTAGTCTTCTGTGAGCACCTGCGTTTGCGTGCTGAATCTATGCGCGTGTGCGCTGCCTCTCCACTGACTTTACCTGCTGTAGGACGGGCCGGATGATTTTGAGCGGCAGTGGACTGAACTTGTTCCGTTTCAGGAAGTCGTAGAGGTTTTGCTCCAGCATCTCAAACACCAGGCAGGTGTGGCTGCGGTGCTGAAAGCACTCCAGGGCGCGCACCACGTTGTGCTCATCGGCATTTTCGCTGCTCAAACGGGCCAAGATCTCCACCTAGGGGGGTGGGGGGGGACAAGACGGGAAACAGCAAAAGTTCAGTTCAAACAAAAAAACACGTCCATAGATTAGATTCAGTCTGTCGTGATAAAAAAGAAAGAAAATGGCACTAGAATTTGTTTCACCGCACAACAAAGCCTCGCAGACTCTCACCTCTATCTGCCCCTGGCGCGCATACGACGGGTGGTTCTTCAGTATCTTGACAGCCACCACTTCACTCGTGCCCCTCTTCCAGCACTTCACCACCTGACCGAATGTTCCACGGCCAAGGAACTCCAAAACCTCGTAGCTGTTCTTCAGGGAGCTCAGAACCTCGTGCTGGACGAGCTGATAGTCGCCGTCTAGAGATCCAGTCCTGATCAGCGTGGCGCCGGCTGCGGCACGAGTGCTGCCACTGGACCCGATTCCGGTTCCCTCGGCGTCGAGTCCCATGTTGGTCACTGCCTCGGCTCTCCCGTGCTGAATGGACAGATCCCCTCCACAGCCGACTCTGGCGGTGTCTGCGTGGCTCCCCGCGCTGGCGTGCAACATGACCACAGGGGGAGGAAGTGAAGATAGAGAAGATACCTCCTCCACTATCTGCATGGTTCCTAAGCAGCTGTTCTGCCGCGGACGCTCGCCACCGTCGCCTGGCTTCTCCTCACATCTCTGGGGGGCACCTAATCCTAAAAGGCTGACGTATCCCCCTCTCGCTTGCTCTACTCCGTTTCCACCCTCCTTCTCCTCCTCCTCCTCAACCGCCGCCGCCCTGATGCAGGCCTGCCTCAGTAGCCCGCAGGGCAAGTGTCCCCCCGACAGAGTACCACTGCTGTCACTGTGAATGCTCACTTCCTGTGGGCCTCCGCTCTGGATCTCCCGGCTCTCCTGTCTCTGTACTACCGTGGCCTGCAATGCGCGCTCCTCCCTCTTTAGTCCCTGCCGTAGAGTTCCTGGATTGGCAGCAGCTGAAGACGGGATCACGTTGTTCGGGTAGGCGATACCGTAGTTGACGCCGATCACGTAGGTCTTGGCTGTTGGCCGGTGCTGAAATGCTTTGCTGGTGTTGTGCCTGCGGTGAGCTTCTTCTTTTTGTCTGCTGGTTCCTAAGGCACTTCTTTGAGCAGAGTGCAGGTGTGTTGGGTAGACCAAGACGGGTGAGGCCATACCTGGAGAAACAGAAATTAAACACGGGGAAGACGGATCTTTTAGCCAACAATAAACCAAGCGAGCTTTCATTTCTGTGTTCCCACCGAACGCACTGCAAATGTTGGCCGGCGGGGAGACAATACCTCAGACATTCCAGAAAACGAGACACAGTCTTGTCTGGGTTCATAACATTTTCCGCCCCAAGAAATACATTGTGTTTGATTTCATTGCAAAGAACGCATGAAACGGGTGGTTCACACGCATGCATCACATATGTTTTCAGCTGGTATTCAAGTGCCCACTTTTGGTTAAAATATTTGTTTCCTTAAATTCTGCTTCAACCACATCAAGATGTCAGCGATGACCGGAGGAAAAACTTTAAACACTACTTTCGTAACACAGAGCCAAGCCAATTTCTTGACTTAAAATATTCCAACAAATACGAGAACAAGGTCAATTGGCGTATTATCGTATTCCTTATCACTATCCTTCTGAGCATTATTTAGGTCTGTATAATGTTATCATAAAAGCTGCCGAAGCCAATACACATCCAGGCCTTAACGTCATACGTACTTAAAAGAGGAACAAGCCTGCTGTAATTGGAGATGGGAGGGGCGTTATATCTCTGGCTTGTCCCCACATGCCACACCGGACAGTCAGTTTCACACAAAGGAGAACCCCAAAGAAAGCCCTGACCTCTGGTAGTTAAGACATAAAAGAGGGAGAAGAAGAAGGGCACAGACAGCGAATTGTAAAGACCAAACTACAGATCTCAACCACATGAGTGTTTTCTCATGCGCTGGAAAAACACATGTTCTGTCATTTAGCTGATGGAGAGTATCATATAAATTTAAAGACTAGTCAATCAAAGTTTCTGTCAGCGACACTCCTCTCTTCGCAGCAAGTCATGACACCGTGAGAACAAGCAGAGGCAGAGCCTGTCAGCCACACTTCCTGATTATGTCCAAACAGAGACCGATTGTGCTTGACCGGGCTCACACGCGGACTCAGGTGACTCAAGTCTCAAGGCTTCCTCACACGTGTTGCACAAATGCACTGAAGGAGCAGTCTCAAGCACGTTTTTTTGCCCTCCAAAGAAATAACCGAAGATGCAGCCAAACACAGGTTGAGACAAGCGCAGGGGTGTGCCTCGGCATCAACACCACAATGCAGCACACTTGGGTTTCTCACGACCAGGAAAGGCTGGTGAGTTCAAGGAGATACGTTTACCTGTAAAATGAAACGTTCCAAAACTAAATCGCCAAAGAAAGACAACAAGCAGGTTGCCATTGGAGATCACTGCCTGCGTGGTAGAAAAACACTTTCTTCACTTACTACCCACAGCTGCAAGTCTGGCAAATATTGATAATTAAAAATAAAAACCTTGCTCATGCAACTGACAAAAGTCCCAGTGAAAGGTGAAACAGAAGAAGCACTATCAGCCGGTGTGTGCTCGACAAGAGGCCATGGCCAGTCATTGAGGGAGAGGCTGCTGGCAGGTCACGGAGCTGGCCTGCCAAGCACAGGTAGCCTGATATCCCGCAGGGACACAAGACCAGGCCTGAAATGGAGAGCCACGACGGAGAAGTGCGCGTGCAAGCTGGTATTTTCAGTTGTAGATGAGAGCCAGCTGAAAAAGGCTTCAGATAGTTGACATATGGAAATAGGGGTGTGTGTGTGTGTTTGGGGGAAGGGCCACACCAGCCTAGACACCTGTTAAAACTTTTGTTGTTAGTGACAGGCAGCTAACGTCAGATCATGGCTGTGTTACACCGGGCGGAACGGACAACCTTAAAGGGCGCTTTCATAAACACCCTGGCTAATGTAAACTTCCTTTAAGGTCGGTGTTACTAACGTTATTCATTTTCCTTGATACATTCTATCCACGTCACACGTTGTTTAAAGTTATCCCAAAACACACGTGAATGCTCTTAACGTGACCCCGCATAACTCCGTCGTTGGACTAATTAGCTTCCACTGCTAACACTTATCTGGGGGAAACTAACGTTAAATCAAGTTGGCTAGCTTACCAGTTAGCCAACGGGCGAAGTAACGTAACGTCAGTACCAACGTTCAAATGATAAACTAACACACACACGTAACCGTGACACTGATATATTTGACAACCGGTTTGCTCTCACAAAGTGTCATATCTTCAGTGGTAGCCATTAATCGCAGCACCCAGCGCTTCGGGGGACAGGCTAGCGACGGGGAACGGCACCGCGGTCAGATCCTGCAACGACGGCGTTGCTGCCGCTGCGTCCATCTTGTTCGGCGACGAGGCGACAGCGAGCGACTTTCCGCACATTTGAAGCGTCAAATAACGTCAAATAACTCGCCGTTACGAACGCCAGCTGTAAACCATGGTTCCGGCAGCCGTCTCAGGATTCGCCCGGCGTCGCTTTTGTCTGTATTCAGCACCAGGAACCCGTGTTTCGAAACTTTTGCACCGTTAATGTACCGCGCCCCCCCGCCCCCCCCAGCGGAGATAGCCGCTAGCTGTTGCTGCTCGTTCGGTAGCGTGTTGCTTCTCCGCATTAGTGGAATGTTGGGGGAAGAGAGAGAGAGAGAGAGAGAGAGAGAGAGAGAGAGAGAGAGAGAGAGAGAGAGAGAGAGAGAGAGAGAGAGAGGGGGTGGCGGGGGGGGGCGGGGAGAGAGAGTTCATAACTGTCACTGTGATAAGTAACACATGTCACACACATGTTGATGTGACGTGTTCATTGAATCATCCGACGAGCTGTCTTTATTTCTCATATCTCAAAATCTGCCCACATTCCAACTGCCCGGGTCTCAGGTTTACCTCACAGCGTCATCTGATTATTGAACGCGTATTCTACAATATCAACCGAAGGAGGGTCCTGCCTTTTCAACTAATGTTGTGTGGGCGCTTTACTATGGAATGCCGTTTTAGTCAAAATGAAATGAATGAATAAATATATAAATACATGAAATATGCATTTGAAATACATCATGAAAAAAATAAATGAGGCAATAAATATTAAATACATTTAATTATTTCATGGTACTTTTATTTCATAATGCCACTTTTCATAGCATCGTACTTTTATTTCATAATGCCACTTTTCATTTCCAGAGTCTTTTATTTCATAATGCCGTTTTACATTTCACGTTCTTATATGCAAATCAGGGGGCGTGGCTACATCTAACATTCAGAACAGACAACAGAGCCGTGTGCAAAAGAAGGCTGGCTAAGGGACGTGAGTGTTGACATAATGGAAGACATCGGTGGGCTCCGAGGTAGCATGCTAGCATTAGCAGATCAAATCGATCAACATGGGTTTTCTGCAGATACAATTTTGAAACATATTGAGGGGTTTTTGGAAATACTAGGGCGGATAAGTGCTCTTCAAGATGTATACATAGACGACGAAGTTTTAAATTGTTTAAGACTGATTGAGCACCGCGTGCGTGTGGAAGAGGTCCAAGTTGAGGAAGTCAACATTAGCGCTGGTACTACAATCACAGGTGCTGGACGCCCGCGTCTGGATATTCCTGGCGACAAGCTGGCTAACTTTGTGTTGTCCGGTCTATCAACCCCAGAAATCCAATATCCAGGAATATCCAGAGGCGGGCGTCCAGCACCTGTGCTTGTAGTACCAGCGCTAATCTCAGATCTATTGAAATAGTACTGAAAAGTACCACAGACCATTTTGAAATGTAACACTCTACCTATTTCAATATGAAGGTGCATCCGCCAGGAAATAGCTCTTTAAAATGCATACTTTTTTCTCATTCTTACATCCATCCTAATGTTGTCACACTTACGTGTTCACATTGTAACACGCTCCTTAAGTGTGTGTTAAATGTTCTGACACACTGGCTGTGTTAAAAGCAACACAGAATGTGTTGTCCTTAACTAGACACACAGATGTGTTAAAAATAACACATCATGTGTTAATTTTTAATTTTTAGTTTTGAGAGTGTTGTTGCAAACACGGCAAAATACATCACACTTTTTGTCATCAAGAGAGTAATTAAATAAAATTGCATAGAGAGAAAGAAAATATATATATACAATTATTGTATATTTTGCTAGAAAATCAAGTAATTCATGATTCAACTGTATATATCAGATTAATTTGAGTTCTGGCTCCACCTAGGTCTGCTACGAAAACTACATGCTACTGCTGAGGACAATTGGTCTTCACACACAGTTCAGATGTAGGGGGAGAAATAAGCCATTTGGGACGGACAAAGCTTTATTGGCATGTTGGATTGACATTAAAAGACAAATACCGGCGTAATCGGTGGCGTCATGCAATGCAAATGTGTTTTTCAACGTCATCCTGCTTGGTAGAGCAAAAAGACACACGCTACCCCAGCACACATTGTTGTGTCAAATATTAAGCAAAGCAACAGGTCTTATTAAAAATGGGCTTAAACCATTATTGTACATCAATGTTTTTAATCTGTCATTTATATGTATAAATAAATGACAGATTAATCTTTGATATGGTGCTGTGTGTTCAAAAGTCACATTCATTAACAAATGATTTATTGAATTGGCCAACAGTATTTAATACCTTGAGAAAATTGATGCCCTTTGATCAGCATATAGTCATGATGAATATATCTTTTCAGATCCATGTTGCTGTCAGATTGCAAGACCACACTGTTTTGTAACAGCAGCAAACGTGTTGTTTTTGAAAGCCTCAATGCCATCAAATGTAGATTAAATGTTTCTTTCAATAAAACCATTTTTGACAACTCAAAATTCATTGTAATTCATTTACTTCAATCCCTTATTTTGTGGGCAGAACATTTCTACACATAGCTGAATGAATGTGGCCCAACGTGTTGGACAAAGGTAAAAATTCTTAACATGTTATCAACCATTAGAACAAAATGCAATTGAGAAACTATTAAAAGACAGCTACGGTTCAAATGGGTCTGGTCCTATGAACTCCCCCTTTCACTTTCCTCTTTTCTAATGAACTGCACACACATATGTACAGCAGATACAAAAAGTCTACCTTTATTTGTATATTACTAGTGTGGACTAATTCAAGAAGAAATACGTAGGAAGTTATTCACAGAATCTCATTGAAATGTCATCAGGCCGCTGCTGCACTTCAGAGGCAGTACGAAGATTTGGACCCTCAAGCAGGCTTTTATGTTATGAAATAAATTCAGCGTTCAAAAAGGTATGTTATTTCATTTTTTATACACGTCGAAACCCAAACATCTGAACTGTCTAACCAAGCCAATCTGATAATAAGAATGTTTTGATTTCAACCAGCAGAATGGGTATAATTTGTAACCACCACAGTAAAAAGACCACAGCCCATCATCTGGCGTCTTGCTCATTCCATTACAACAGCAGCACCGAGTTTGAAAACTGGTCATTCCTGAATGCTGAGACTAAATAGGTGCTGCTGCTGCTGTGTTCGGAGTACAATCTCTTTCGTCAGGCCTCTTTGAGCAGAATGAGTGCCAGTGTTTACTGAAGGAGAGCTCTAGGAGGACCTTGTCAGGCGTTGACTCAAGCTTTAGCTTTACTTGCCTTTATGTCAATAGTGGCGGGAAACGGGACGACAAAATGCAGAAGGCCACATGTGGAATTTGAACCCAGGCCACTGCGGTAACCATGGGAACTTAACAAAGCTATTTTACATGTATTTAACAAATTTGAAGATTTTAAGAGAGATTTAAAGAATCTCGTACAACAAAGAAGAGTAAATTGATCATTCAAATGCATTAATACGAAAAATATTCACTCAGTGCCTCATGTATCAGTTTTAGGCTCCTCCCCTTTTGATTAGACCCATGTGCCACTGCCGAATATATGAATGAACCAGTAGTTGCCACAAATGCAGCTCGTTATTGCGGCCCTCCACACAGAGTAGGACTTGGTAAATCTCTGCATTATTGTAAAATATCATTATTTATTAACGCATGTAATAGTCAATTTTAATTTACGTGTTCTGTTTTGCATCCTGTGAAAAATGAGTCATATAAATGAGGTGTTTTTTAGAAGAAGAGTTTGGAGGGTTTGCAACATTTTTTTAAGTTTTAAATGAAAAGTTCAGGCAGCTTCCTGCAGCCTAATTTCGACAGAGTGGTTGCTAGGCAATTGTTCCTGGGCACAACATTCCTACATTTCCCTTGAGAAAAATAAATCTGTCAAAAAAATATTCAAGACCATGACGAGATTCAACGCCGATAAAATTGTCAATTTAAATAACCGGGAGAAACCATGGTAATTCAGAGGTTTGGACTAAACGGGACTCTTCTTGCTCGTTCCCAGTCCCAACTAGCCGGCTAATCTTCTCGTCTCTAACTCTTGCAGATGTGGAACCCCTTAATGAGCTTGTTGGCTTTTCTCATGGAATGCGGCCCGCATGTCTCGGCCTGAACGCCATCTCCCTGCAACTCCTCACATGTTGAAATGCCACAAGAGCGCCTTAAAATAACACATAGAATAAATGACATACAGAGAATGAGCATAGCATCAAACAGCTGTATTTGCCACGTACAGATAAAGTGATGTCTCCCTGTGTCCGTATGAAGTCGCTCTCCCTGTGTGTTGTAATGCGAGCTTTACTGGGTTTTATTAACATAGCGGGCCGGTCGCTAAAATGCCCTTTTGGCAAGCTAATGGCCAATGCTAAAAGCATTGGCCATGCTTTTAGCATTGGCCATTAGCTAAAAGCATTGGCATTGGCTAATGGCCCCCTCAGGTTACCCATCAGCTGGCGGACGCTGTTGTCGGGCTGGCTGACAGCGGAGATCTGTCCCGTCAGAGCGCTCCTCCGGACCGCCGTGAACAGAGAGTAGCTGTGTCGGCTCAGACACGCGCTCAGCTCGACACACAGCTTCTCCCCGACGGTCGCTAAGGCCTCCGGTGCGTTGAAGGACCTGGCGACAGGCAACAGGGAGGCGTTCAAGTGCAGCGGCACTCACACCAAATACATATGGATGGATGGTCGGTTTTGTTGTGGGACGTCACTTGGTGGATGAAGGATAAGTTGAAAACAAGACAGCCAGATTCTTTGTAAAATGTGGGAGCGAAACAGGTTGTATAGTAATATTCGTTCATTCATTTGGCAGATTGTCGCTGCCCATTATTACGGCGCTGTGCCTATGAATGTGAACATAACATACGCGATCTGGGGGCCACCCAAAGAGGGACCAACCAGTAAAAAGTATTTCCCTGTTCTTCTCGCTACGTTTATGTATTCTTTTCTTGTCTTTTTGATAAAGCATTACAGCATAACGGTACCCCGTGCTGTGATGTAGTAACGCAGTGTCCCGCTAAAGAGGTACAAAGATCGCTGATGGTGAAAGCGCAGTGGGGCCGCTACTCACGGCGTGTGCATGTCCGTAAATATGGAGCTGACGATGTCCTTTAGTTTCTCCATCAGCCCCAGCAGGCCGAATATAGCCTCCCCCGTGGTGGTGTAGACGATGAACAGCACGGACGACAGCATGACCAGCCGCTCCTCTCGGTGCATCTCCTGGAACCGGACCTGATCCATCAGCACCGTCTGCAGGGGGGCGTGAGGCGAGGAGACGGGCCGCAGCACAGAGGGACTTCTGGCGGTTATGCGTCCACCTCTGGGAAGGGGTCGGAGGCGTGGGACCACGTCAGCAGGCGGAGGTAGTTGTCGACGTTGACGGGGGAGAGGGCCTGACGACGGGGCGCAGGGGTCCCTCTCTCTCATGCATCTCAGCGTGTCCTCGAGCCACTTCTCTGTGTAGTCTAAGGCATCTGAAGCATCTGGGGAGTTCATCGTTAGATCGAGGCGCCAATAAAAGAGGCCTGCTCTTAGTGGAGAAGCTAATAGCGACTTTGACCTTGATTGGGACAATGCTTTGAATGGGACAATGCGTCATTTAATTATACCTCATCTTCCGGCCAACAAATATATATAAATAATATTGTGCCGCACTTCAAAGCAAGCGGACATGTGTGAATGTGAGGAAGTGATGAGCGTTTGCTTTAGTATGTGCAGACTGTGTCGCCGTTAAGGAGTCGCTGAGCTTCATTTTGTTTCAGGCTGTAATTGGTTAGCTGCCTCGATGCAAAGCTATAAAGGTAAAGGGGGACATAATATCTACTAATGGGTTTCAGCAGTTTCTATGTGCCTGCATAAATGAGTCATGGAAAAGAGAGATTCCTTACTGGGGTGCTTCTCCAGAAACCCCTGGAACTTGCTCCTCTCGTACTCGACCGACTGCTGCATCAGGTGAGGCTGGACTCACTGTCCAGACTCAGTTAGCCATGTCCACCTTCATCAGGTCCAGCACGGAGAATATTTCCCCGGGAGGGAGACAGAAACGGGGGGCTCACGCCTTACGCTACCAACATTACAAAATGCAATGCAATGTGCAAAATGCAATGTTGGAGGTTTGAGATTCCGGGTCCAACTCGACCACTTGGTCGGCGTTAGCTCCTCAAGCGTCATTCCAGAACGCGCTGATCCCCTTTGCCCAAGCCGACTGGAAGGAAAATTCCACCTAAAGTCATACGCCGGCGTCCGTGGCCCGGCAGCAGGAAGGACAGCAAGGTCTGGGGGAAAGGGGGTGAAAGACGTGCTGCCGGGATTTTTCTCCAGAAACGTGCCACAGCAGCTGGAAATAAGACATCACATTTGAGCCTCACCTCTCTGATCCCGGACAGCAGCTTGATGGAGTGTCCGTACGTCTGCGGTTCCTCCTTCAGCTGAGCCTCCAAGCAATCCCAGAATGCCTTGTGCATGATCTCCTTCACTTGGCGCGCCAAGCTGTGCACAGGAGGGGCCGTTACTTCTACAGCAAGAGAACAAGGGACTCTGGGCTATGTGGTAGAACGCTCACCTCCCCTCGGGAAGGACCACTCGTTTGACTTGAAAATCCTGGTTGACCATTATTTCATGAGCCAAAGCCATGTTGGTGACTCCTTCAGCCGTCTCCATCAGCTCCTCCCCGGAGACGAACCGGGGGGGCTGTTTGTAAAAGAAATACACCTTCCATCATAATGTGCTTCTTCCTTTCTTAAACAAATTTCCACTGTCCACTTGAGTATAACTTTAGTAAAAGCAGCCACACACACATACAATGTCAGGTGACATTAGTCGGTTTGGAAATCTGCTTCAAAATTTGTTATTATAACCCGACAGCAATTAATAAGTCCCATGCTCTGGCAAAAAAACAAGAATATGGCATGCTCACAATAGCATGTAACATGTATGTTGATGTGGTCCCATGTCGGGGGTCTACTGGATGAGATTGACGAGACGACATGATACACAGTGGCTGTTTTACAGTAACCTGTTGAGACCTTCAAGCTGGGGTTTCAGAGCGACGCACACGTTTCTCACTGCTCTGCATACAGCAGCTTTACTAATATTCTAAAAAAGTAATACTACACAAAGAATCTGCTCGGTGACTGACGTCACCCATTTGCTATTTGAGGACGGATAAGGTTATGTACATATTTGATGGACTGTTAAGAAAAACGATACCGTTCAAACAAGTAGCTTTGGAAATGACAATATACCTAATCAGGCCATCAATATTCTCTATCGACGTGTGTAACACCCTGCGAGTAAAACCGCTTTTTCATCAACAGGATCGTCCAGAAAGGGACGTGCCATGTTGGAGAAAACACTTTAGTCTTTAACGTAACAGAGATCTTATTTTGTTCAGATGTGGAAACTGCGCTAAAATCCACCTGATACAGAGTATGTAAATGAATGAGGAAATGAAAGCGCGCTGTGTGATTGGCTGGGCTGCTGTCAGAGGGAGGAGACTGTGAAAGAAACTCGAGGTTTATTGAAGAAAACCTGCTCCCGACCAGGTTATGTTCACAGGTTCAGTTACCATGGCAACTGAGCCTGAGCTTTAGTTACCTCCCTTTCTGAAACAGACAAGCCAGAGTTTCCCTCATCTCAGGGTTAACTAAATGAGTTTCCACTAAACCCGCTTCTTGGAACGGACCCCTGTTCACTTCAGGAGGCTGAGCGAGCTAACCTGCCTTCCTAATCAGAGTAGACTTCTTTTCTCATTCTCAAAGGAGACAGATTTATTAAATTGGAATCTATTTTATATAGATCACAAATCTGTCCCACATCGGGCACACGTGGCCCCGTCTCTGGTCAGCTTGGTGTGATCAATCCTTTTCTCACCTTGAGGAGTGTTCCCCCTGTGGGGGCTCAAACTATTTGCCCGTATCCTCTCATTCAATGTGGCCTCGGGAGCACCCTGTCTCCTCTCCTCCTCCTCCTTCTTCGATTCCTTGTCTCCTCTGGCCTCAAGGTGGTCCGCCTCGTTAGGCATGATTCAGTCTGCACGATAACACATTATGTTTGCAATCAGCAGAATGTTACATGAATGTTACTGTAACAGTTGTTCTTGTGGGGTGGGGGTCTTCTTCTAGCTAGACATGCAGTATTGCTACATCAATGAACATTATTTGGCCGTTATGCTTTTTTGTTGCAGTCCAAACAGGAGATCAGGAGAGATGCAAGTTTGTTGTTGTGATCGAACGACAGATGACCGTGGCTGCGAGTGAAGGCCTGTCCGCGGCAACGGTACTAACCTTCAGCGGCTGGGAAGCCCCGAGGAGGGAGACTGGCGAACCGAGAGGCTCAACTTTAGCTTTGGTCTCTCACTGTCAACAAACAATGCAGCCTTTGCGACAGCAGCTAAACCTAGACATCCCGGCCACAACGAAATCTATCACCGTCACAGATTTATTTATTTAGCAGGAGGGAGTCATTCGTTGCGTCCCGGAGAGCTCGAGCTCACTGATGTCGCAGCAGCTTCTCTTCAATGCGCCGTCTGCTAACCGAGCGAACCGCTTCCGGTTTGGGTTCGGGTTGAGTGTGACGCAGCAGACGAGCCCACTCTCTGGCGCATGCGCACAGCTTCATTTTTTAAGAAAATCAATGGCAGCGGATAGGAATATGTTAGTTTCTAATGGCACGCATTTCTAGCTCTACCTTTGTAATTTTAGTCTTTTTATTCTCTGAAAGGAATTAGAGGTTGCGTTGAATGCATTAGATTAAATGGTGTCTGTGACTGAAGCAGGCTAGGTTTATCAGTGGTGTGACACACAAATTCATTATATTTACAAATACTTGGGTTGTTTACCTCAAGGGGCATATACAAATGGAAAACTAAAACTACTTCAATCCCTTGAACATGATTTTTTTGCCCACAAATGGACTTGTTTTACCACTTAATCTGTTTCTAATTAACCTTCACATCTGTAAAAAGGGAGACAGACAAAACATATATCCACAGTTTATTTTGACAATAAGGCAAACATACACATAAAGGTGCAATCCCATGCTGAAGGTATTTTCCAACTAATCATTCAACGCGATCTACTTGCGAATCGTACGGCCTAAGACCGTAAAAAGCTACACAAAACTCCAGACGACTACAGCACGCTAACAGCGTGTTCACCAAAGTACTGGTTAAATATCTCCGGGTGTGCTTGATAGAACTGTCTGAGTAGCCGCTTTCTCTCCTTGGCAGAGATCTTTGGGTTGTGATGGATGCCGCCCAAAAGAATCCGCAGCTCCTCGTTGGTGGTCTTCTTTGTAGACTCGTTGTAAGCCCCGTGAGAGACCGGCTGGCAAAATGTGAAGCCTGAATCCCAGAGAAGAAGAAAAAACAAGCAAAAGAAAAAGTGTATACATGGAGGGCGGCTTAAGAGTACACGTTCTGCAACCATGAATGTTCGATTCGGTTATCAGTGACCACATAACGTAGTCATATAAAAAATGTTGAACAAGCGAATGTCCTCTTACAAACCCAGGCCACTTACCAAATGGTACAACACCAGCATTTCATTTCCTGACCAGCTCAGATTTATAGTAAATATATAGTTCTCGATATAGTCTCTTTTTAGCTTAATTTTGGTCTCCACCAACTCTTGAGGGGAATATCTGCTTCTAAATACTCAAGAGACCCTTCTTGTGGCCCTTGTAGAATGTCATCTTTTTCTCTCAAGTTAAAACAATTTTTTTTTCTAAAGCGGAAGCTGGTGGCTAGGTCAGGTGCCAGACGAGTGTCGCTGTTGTGACGACTGACTGACGACTGCCACAGTCCAAAGACTGACGCGCAAAAAAAAAAAAAAAAGTATATTAAGGTAACGTATTGTGATAATCTACAAACATGACATTAATAAGAGCTCTATACTTAGGCGAGGGTTTGCATCTTAAAAGAAAATATTGTAATCTGGGCTCCCGTGCCTCAGATCAGTGAAGCAAGAAGTCGTGACCGATTACAAATGTAACGAGACACAGGTTAGTATCGACTTGATCAACTAAAATATCAGATTAATATGAGTCATTATGCACATACGTATGATATACATGATGTATTGATAAATACATGCATGTATTTATGCATGTATATGCATGTAACGAATCAGAACAGTGTTTAGTGTTACCGGTCACATCGGGCTGCTTCCCCTGTGCCAGGCTGGCCAGCTTTTCGCTCACTCCTTTGTGCAGGGTCCCCGGTATCTGGAGCAAAGAGAATAATAAAATCTTGGTGGGAAATTACTCAATGACAGGAAAACACTGTTCACTGTGGAGATCGACCTGTCAAATTTGATTTTTAAATCAAGGTTCCGACTTAATTATTTTCCCCTGAAGCCCTTGCGCAACAGTCTTGAGGCAACGTTTTCTATCATTACTACAATTTGAGCAATTTGTTCATGCAACAATGAGTTACAAAACCACTAAATGTAAAAAGCTCAAACAAACATCAGCCCTTGAACCAAAAAAGTAAATTCAAGGCCAGAATCTGGTTTGCAGTTTGAGGAGAACACAGAGTTTTCTAACCTGAAGTACTGATAAAATACTGCAGTTTTTTTTATGTGTGTGTTAATCTACATAGTCCATCTTCCCACTCACCTTTAAAAATGAGAAGAAACTAATCTGAACCTTTACTTAAACCAGGTTCAACGATGTTAATCAATTTCTTGCATTTCACTAATGAGTTTAATTTCTTAAAGTGCACTGCAATTATTTTTGTTTGATGTTTCAGTCTTCTCCTTGTCTTTTGCCTTATGCTCACATGAGGCACTTTTAATTACCTTGTTGTTGAAATGTGCTATACAAATAAAGTTGCCTCGCCCGGACCATAAAAATGTCCTTTATGTTGCTGAGCAAGAAGATCACCATCAGGTCCTCCTTGTCCTTTCAAAGAACCCTGCTGTGGAGGACTTGAAGTTGAGAAATCTGCTGTTGGACATAAAAACAAGAAAGCATTTTCCAACATAACATTTAGTGCCCTGCTCTCACCTCCTTATCCAGTTTCATCCCTTGCGGGTCGGCTGCCAGAGCCATGAACGTGAGCAGCGCGCATAGCTCATCTCTGTGGCCCGAAGGAAGCAGCTTCAGGCACAACTGCAGCGCTTCGAGAGCCGTGGACAGTTTAGCGTTCACTGAGGAAGGAAGAAGACACACAAATGGAAGGGTTTATTGAATATCAGTCAGTCTGTCTGAGGATTCCCTCTTTACTAAAGAGCCTTTTCAGGGATGTTTTCTGCAACCATCTAGCTGGAATGACTGAGGGGAATCATGCCAAACACTAATAAGTTTCTCCTTGTGGAAGGTGCTCCAACTTCTCCACTGTATGTTATGTGCTTTGACAAACTGCTCAGAGAACAAAAAGTTAGTAAAAAAAGATGTTGAACACGTTGTTGTGACGTCATCCATTTGTCGATTTGTGGTAGAGACCTTGTATATGGCTCTGGTCGCAGCAGCGCCCTGTCAATCACAGAGCAGACCCGCCCTAAAGCATACCCTGCTTTATGCTCTACTTGAAATTAGAGATGGAGACAATAAACTCATGTTTCATAATGTTTACTGGCGAAATTAGTCAAGTGAGAAGAGACCGTGTGCACTTCACAACTTCAGAAACAGTCAGGCAGCTCCCTGCTCAGTTCCACCACTGGCTGATCAGGCAGGAAGTCCAGACAGTCCAGAGCTGCAATGAGCCACTCGTCCTCCCTGAGGGACAAGGACGAGACCATAAGCAAAGGCAGGTTTCATTACATAAACTATATATTTGGGGATTAGAAAAGACTGATACCCCTCTCACGTCTATACCCCGACTATGAATCGAATTAGCTTCACGCAAAGACTAGACCTGGGGGAACCGCTAGCCTGCATTTATAGAGGAGGCAGTGGGAGGGGAGTTGATTGTCCAAGCTGGAACGTACTGAGAGTCCCTGAAAACTTTCAGGATCTGCCGGTCCAGGTGGTTGCTGCTGTAGATCAGGTCTGGGTTACTGTGAGCCAGAAGGTTGGACGGAGGAGGAGGTGATGGAGCCTGGCTGCACTGAAGCACCGCTTCCAGCACGGGGAGCTCCACCAGGTTCAACAGCCGGAGCAGAGTCTGCTCAGACCACTCATCTGTGCTTCGACTGATCAAGATGGCGCCTTACACGATTGCGGTAAAACGGGGTCCGCCTGCGCCCTGCCGGGGCTACTACTGTCTCCCAGAGGCTCTTGTGTCGGGCTGACCGGGGTGGCAGCGTCCACTTTATTGGCTTTTGTGGACCCCTCAGGTGGTTGGACGGAGGTGGACATCTGAACATGGGGACTGGTGGGACACGTCCTCTCTGCCTGACTGCAATACAAAAAACGGTGGCGGCCGAGAGCTGATGAAGGAGTCACTTGAAAAATCAAGATCCGATTGGGATGTTCCACAAAAAGGACAATGTGCCAATTTTAGAGTTCAGATTAAGTGTGTTGAATGTGAAAACACAGGTGATGTCTCATAAATGTCCACGTCACATCTGCCGCTACATGCATAACATGCACAGATCTCAAAGAGACTTCAGTTGCATTCTGGGTAATGTGGATGCAAGGTTTTGACAAAGAAGAAGAGTGCAGAAAGAAAAAGGAGTGTTAAAGGACTAGAACTGTTCCAATACTCTTACTGTTGAGTATATGAGTGTATGGATGCATGTAACTGTAACTGTTTCCTGATTCCTGAGTCATGTGATATCGAGAGCACCACTTCCATACAAGGGCAGTGTTCCCGCCCCTTTTCTCTCTGTGTACCCGTCTCTCCCGTGAGCGGAAAGTTGAGCATGTTGTGCCTGCATTAAACAATGCCACGAGTTAAATGGCTGAAGAGATAAACGCCTGGACGTCCGTTCATACTCTGGTATCATTGTTCTGCCGCGCAGGTAGGCCAAAGGAGTAAGCCTACCTATTAACACTTACTAGTTAGTAGCCTATGCCAGAAAACAATGGTGTGTCCCAATACGCAGGATGTCAAATGCAGCACGACGGAAATGTCCTACGAGATCCGGTTGTCATGGACATTATGTGAGCCACTGCGTTTGTTACTTTTAAATCTGCCCATCTGATAGTACACAGTACACAAACCATTAATGCAAGGCAGAATGATACCGACAGCATGTTTGTTTTTTTATTTGATGTAGTTGAGACTAATCCGTGTATGCTTGGTAGGATTTCCTCCTGGTACCTTTGTGAAGGTGCGCCGCAAAACAGCTTCTGGATCCCATTGACGAGCACACCTTTTTCCAGGTCGTCGACTGAAGGGGAACACACCCCTGCAAACCTGTGTGTGCAGAAAAAAAGAACAAAGAAGAACATATCAGCACCGCTTTGGATCATCGCTGAGGAGTGGGTTAGCATGTGTGTGTGTCACCTGTAAAGAGCACTCCTGCTGTCCTGAAACACATCCCGCTTCTTGACTTTTCCGAACACTCTGGTGCCCACCGCCTCAAACACATTGCAGTCCAACAGGGCCTGGCACACGCGCACCACTTTGGCCCGCGACACGATGGCTCCTTACATTATTACCAAGCAGGAAAACAATGATTGTTCCTAAGGAGCATTTTTGGTTGAAAAGACGTTTAAAAGACGTCTATGGCCCAACGTTGAAAAGACGTTGCAAAACGGTTTAAAAGTGAAAGTTGTTTCAACGTCTATTCGTAGACGTTGAAAAGACGTCTATGTTTGGACTACATTTCAACGTGAATTTTTAATATGGTAATATTTCGTCTTCTCTTGTATGCTATATCATTATTTTAGAGGTTTAAAAAGAAACTACGACCACATTTGTAAGTTTACCACCGATATTATAAATCTATACGCGAACGTCTTTTCAACGTCTACGAATAGACGTTGAAATCACTTTCACTTTTGAACCGTTTTGCAACGTGTTTTCAACGTCCGGCCATAGACGTCTTTTAAACGTTGTTTCAACGGATAAATTGCTCGCTGGAAACTTACAAGTTACATACTTAGTCACAGTTGTCATGTTAACAGCCCTTAACATGGACAAACACATTATTTTATTAATTTGCATTTATTATAAATATAACACTATACATATAACACTTTTCCTAATTAAAAACAATACAAAAATAAAATATATATTTCAGGGAAATGAACTATGGATTTAAAAGCGCAGAAACAACATTTCTGTGTTCAACAACAACAATTCTGTGTTTGTAGACCATTTTTCTGAATCATTTGAACTTCATTTTTAGATTCTGTAACAAGATGTGGCTGTGAGTCACTTGAGTTGGGATAGTATACCTGAAATCAGCTGCATCTCCCTCATCCTCACTTGAGGATTCTTTGTGTAAAGGGAGTCAGAGTGCACGGAGCAGATTCCTCTGGTCAACGTGTTTATTCAATTCAAATCATTTTATTTTGTTCAGCTTTGCAATCTGTAAACATGCAACACCCTGTCCCCTAAACCACAAAATGTAAAAAACCTTCAACCTGGAGAAACCTGAGGGGAAAACAGCAGGGAAGAAGGTGTGTAGAGTATGAACAACTTAAAAGATGTACAGTACATCCGATTCCTACAACAGAAATGATTCAAATATTGTGGATTATTAAACCAGGGGTAAGGCAGGACCAGTGCAGGGACAACCATCATCAGACGTAACCTCCATCGGATGCAACCACCACCCACAGAAACCTGTGAGGTGGGAAAGCACAAAGGCAAAGTTGGGTCATTTGGGTTTATGATGACAGTAATAAACTAATAATAATAACAGCAGCAGGTGTGTTAGAACCCTCATTTACAGATGGTTTACTTATTACATTATAAACAAGATAACAATTCATCTGCAACTTATGGAATTTTTGGAGTAACATTTTTAGGTATATTACACAGTATCATGCTTTAAGCAGCAGTAACTTGTAACAATGTTTCGGCCTCTTGTTTACAGAGCACAACTTGTTGAATTCAGCCCTTCACCCTTGCAATGCAACTTAGCCGCCATTGCTTTAAAAACGTATTTTCAATGTGAAATGCAATAATATTTATGGGTACAGCAACAATCTAACGCATTAGCAACACCAAACACACCAAAAATATTCAGGGATGTTTACTTTTGGTCCAGGTCATCATGCTGAACGCTAGCATGCTAACTAGCAAACTACCTGCGCTAATGCTAACTAGCTTAACAAAAAGGACCGTTTTTCCTGTATCGAGTCGGCAGCACAAGCAAAACAACCGGTTATAGTTCCAGGTGTGCTTAATTCAAACACTCCCGTACTTAGAGTAGTGGAGCCGGTAGTCGTGGTTCTATTAGCCCGTTCATGTCGCTCTGCTGCCGTAACTTCGCCTCGTGCTGCACCCGGTCGGAGCTCTGCAGGCGTCTAAGAACTTGCGCATGCGCGTTACAGATGTGAGCGGAGTTACGTGTTTACAAGTAATGTCTGAACCTGCCCGCATTATTATGTCTTAATAACAGCACGCAGTCCGTAGTTTCATATTTATGAAGTTTTAAGTGAAATATTAAATACGTTGAAATCATGTCTTCGCGTAGACTAAATTTCGCCGACCAGTTCATTAATTATTATGAAAATCTTAACGTTAATATCGTCTCTCCTTCGACCTTACGTTACAAAATGACACATTTATCAACAAATTGACGTTTTCTGGCACGTTGATGTTTCATCCCATTTTTAGACGGTTGAAAAGACGTTGAAATGAGGTCATAGACGTTCAGACCTCATTTCAACCCGATTTCAACCATTTTTCAACGTTGAAATTACGTCTTGTGCTCACTGGGTAAGTGCTGGCACGCTGTTTTAGCCACCTGTCAGCCGTTTGGTCATGTTATTGCTGGTGAAATGCTAGCTAGCGCCGTGTTTGCTAGCGCCGTGTTTGCTAGCGCCATGTTCTCCCCGTAGGTCTGTGTGTCTGTCAGACTAGTAGGGGAGCTAGAGTGAGTGCCAGCAACCAGCCCGTGTGGCACTCCAGCAACCAGCCTGTGTGGTCGTCATGGAGCGCCCGTTTTCGCGGGCTGATCACAGACCGGACAGAGTACACGGATTTTACAAAGAATCCACACCTCAAACAAGTGTCCACTAGCGCAAAACTATAACAGCTATCTAAAAAATGATACGTTTTTACAAGACCCAAGACTCTACCGAACGCAAATATGTCGTTTTCATGTCTGTCCGGTAATAAATACGTCTCCCGTGGCCGTTTACAAAACGTGTACCTTCTGGATTTTTTGAGAAATATGTCGGCAGATTTGTATTGGAGCCTATGGGGCTTTTAGCAGAGGTTGTGTGACTGGTCTCCGTAGGCCAAAACTAAAGAACTGTGGGATTCCATAGCCACATAACTACAAGCAGCACAACCATGCCATCACGTTAAGCTAAAAATGAAGCCTCAAAAGTGTATATTTGGCTCTGAGGACCGAAGTTCCATATTTTTTTCCATATTTTTTTAACCAGATTCTGACACTGCCCCACTCTTAGCATCTCCAGCTCATGTAAAACTCAGAAACGGAGCAAAGAACTAGTGAAACATAATCAGTGATTATGAAAAAAGTAGAATAGATATCACCAAGCAGTTTTTTCCATAAAATAGTTGAGACTTGTGTCAACGTTTGAAAGTTTAAATGGTGTCTGTAGCTGAAAGATTGGTGAAGCTGGAAAATCTGAAAGTTGAAGAAGTTTAAGAGGATTTGAACACGATCTCTTTGGGAAAACCATTAGAAGAAATATTCATGATTACTGATTTATATAAATTAAAGCTTAAGAGGTAGAATGCTGGAAAGTCATAGCTGGAAAGCCGGAAAGGAGTTGAGAGAAAGATTCGAAGAACAATACTTGGAATGGTTAATGCATTCCAACAATAACTAGAAAATGCATTTCCTGCTGAAAATGCGTTGGAATGCAAAAAGCTGAAATGAACTTTTTAAAATAGCCGAAAATACAGAAAGTTGAAGGGAATTTGAATATATTTGCTGAAATTACAGATATTAGAAAAGCTGAAATTAATTTGAAATTGCTGAAAATACAGAAATGGGAGAAGCTGAAAGGAATTTGAATAGATTTGCTGAAAAAGCAGAAATGAAAACGGCTGAAATAAATGTGAAATATTGCAAAACAAAACAGAAGTTGCAGGAGCTTAAATGAATTTAAAAAAGTACAGAAATAACAAAAGCTGAGATGGGTAAAAAGAGCATTAAAATTGTTTGTAGTAATATTAGTAGTAGTATTAGTTATAGTTGTAATTGTGGTATTAGTAGTACTAGCAGTAGAAGTCGGTTTAGTATCAATAGCAGTAGAAACAGCTGGAATACTGACACTATTAGCCATAGTAGTATTTGTAATAACATTAGTATTAGTTGTTGTATTAATAGCAGTAGAAATACTAGTAGTATGTAGTAGAAGTATCAGTTGTAGTACGAGAAGTACTAGTAATATTCGTAGTGGTTGTAGTAGTATTTGAAAGAGCAATACGTATTTCAACGAAACCGCTTCGTGGTTAAGGTACAGATAATCATTGAGGCTTTTATTTTGTAATGATGGAATTGGGTGAGGGGGGGTTGGGAGACAGAATGTTTGTTATTCAAACTAATGAGTTTTTAATTAATAGGCCTCATCACAAACATTACAGTAAAAATTCCCTCCACGGGGCTTTTATTTTGTAATTATTGGAGTGGGTGGTGTGGGGGGGTGTAGAAAGAGGGAGGGAGGGTGAGAGGGTGAGGAAGGGAGGGGTGGTGAGGAAGAGATAGAGGGAGAGAGAGAGGAGGAGAAATAGACAGACAGACAGACTGACTGTCTATGATTAACAGTGAGAAGAGGTCAGGGTGGAGGGGGGAGGGGGGCGAGTGTCTTTATCATATTGGTCTGTTGACAGAAAGCATAGCTGCGTCATGTGACTCCACTAATCAGGTCATAGGAGCAGCTGTGAGTCACAGACAGAGCTCCTGCAGCATGTGAGTGCGAGTAACCACGGCAACGACGCACCTGTGCTCATTAACGAGCTGCTGCAAAGGGAAAGACAGAGGACAGCGAGTTACACAGAATCCACACCTCAAACAAATGACAACCAGCGCAAAACTATAACAGCTATCTAAAAAATACAGCGTTTTTACGAGACCCAAGACTCTACCGAACGCATGGATGCGTTTTTATGTCTGTCCGGTAATAAATACGGCTCCTATCGCAGTTGACAAAACGTGTACCTTTTGGATTAAAAAAAAATATGTCAGCAGATTTGTATTGGAGCCTATGGGACTTTTGGCAGAGGTTGTGTCACTCTAACACTCCTTAAACCAAAACTAAAGAACTCTGGGATTCTATGAACACGTTAATCCAATCAGCACAACCATGCCCTCACAACCATCCCCTCAACGCATCTAATTAACAGCACGCAGTCCGTAGTTTCATATTTATGACGTTTTAAGTGAAATATTTAAATATGTTGAAATCACGTCTTCGCGTAGACCGAATTTCGCCGACTAGTTCATTAATTATTCTGAAAATCTTAACGTTAATATCGTCTATCTTTCAATCTTACG